ATTATTTGCACTCCATCTAAAAGTTAGGGCATGGCTTTTGTTTTCCTTTGTTTCCGAATTTAACCCATTTAAAATTGCAATGCAAATTTTTAAGACTTCACAAAAACCACCTCAAGATGAAAAAGAAATAATATTGGGAAACAATGATGTTAGATCTAATTGCAACTAAGTTTATTTTGCAGTAAGTGGTTTGCTTACAAGTCAGCTGATGAATATGAGGGAAGGCCATGCTGCTCTTTTCATATTATGCCAGGGAATACTCAATAGAATGGCATAAGAGTTTTATCCACATGGGCTTGAGTGGCTACATTACTCATGTATGGCTAATGGACACTAAAATGAGGCTATATGCAGTGACTTATGTGGTATACCTTGGGTGGCCCTTCCATATCTGCCCTGCAGAGGTCTGGCTGAGGAGTTTCCACCGGGGGGGTGAGGGACATGCCGCATAGGAAATACTTGCTTCTACTCATTGTAACTGTAGGTGCAGGGTCTTGTTTCAACAAGGTAGCACGGGGAGCATGAAGTCCTTAGTTTAACCATCTGTCATTCTTAGACTTTCAGTAGGCAAACGAAAGGAACAACTACCTGTCTGTGGCAGTGTAGGCCTGGATCACAGGTGGAGTACACAGAGAAACTCTGAGGTCATCATGTGGTGTGGGAGGAGCAAGGTGTTTTGCTCACCCTACACCATGGGCAGCAGCTCTGCCCCCAAATGTCATAGATCCTGGATAAACAAAAGACAGTTCAGTCTGCACAGAGGCCCTGGGCATCTGCATCAGCTTTGGACCCTCTAGACCCGTTTGCCCTCCACCAGCCATCATAGCTCAGTTGCAGTTGTGCTGCCAGGACCTTTTCTAGCCATTGCTGCCACTGGAAGCCTGTCATCTACCCCATTCACATACACTCCAGGGAGTTTCCCCCAGCAGAGAGGTGGCTGCTGAACAATTAGCCAAGCCTCAGGATTCATAAACCTTTTGCTGGGCTTTTTCAGTGAGGGCCATATCGTTTCCCCAGCTGTAGAGATCCCTGATCCATCAGAGGACTCTGTTGGTCTGGCATAAGTGATGATGATGCCATAGAGATAGCAAGGCCCACATCTAGGAGATCTTCATTTAGGTTCCCATCCACATTGCTGTAACTGTGCCGCAGATTTTCTTTTCACTCCCTTCTCCCCCCACCAACTTTATGAAAATTGCTTTACTGGTTAAAACAATTCAGGGGATTAAGAAAGCTTCAGCAGATGGCAATGCACTTTTCTATGGGACCATTCCACATCTCTTTACAAAGTTGTTACCTAGTATTTTCTAGCTGAGAAACAAAGAACCAGTCCTCCGGTTAACAAAATTGCTGAGATTTTACCAGTAGGAAGTTTGCACATCTGTTTCTTTGTCTCTCTTTTTGCCATATGTACTGTAGTAGAGATCATGTGAGTCACTCTATAAATGTCTAACATTAACAGCCTGATTTTCCACATTTTTTTTAACATAAATTACAAGGAATTCTCTCTTTCAATTTTGAAAATCATTAATATTTTAAACCATTTAACAAAACACTGTCTGCCACAAGTGCCCAACATCAATGTTTCATTTTGATAACCTTCCCACATCTAATTTGGATCAGAACCAACTGGCTTTCAGGTTTCTTTTCAAAATGACGTTTCATTTAAAGTTTCACAGGGTTTTAAAACTTCAGCATAACAAAAGGAAATTCTAATGTTTTACTGTTTGACTTTCACAAACGAGCAGTAGCTCTACAGAAGTATTTTACCACCAGGTATTGTTTGGATTTAATTCAAATGTGATGTTCCCCAACTGGGAAAGATAGATGGAGCTTAGTTAATATCACTCTTTCCTCATTATCCAAAATAAGCTTTAATGCAAAGCAGTGGTAGCAGAGAAGGGGTAATGGAAGGCAAGTTTGTTCTCTTTTTCTTAGTAGTCCAGATAAGATGCATTTGTATGTTTTGGCTGTCAGTAGCAGAAATAGAAATTGCTATATAAATGTCAGCTTGAGCTGAGAGATCCAGCAATTCACTCCCCATCCCCCACCTCTTAATTCTGATTATTACCAGACAGAGAATCAGCCCCTCTCTGAATGCTGCTTTCAGAATGGTTTCATCGTAAGGGGAGGGGGGGGGGAGAGAAATGGACTCATTTACCAATGGAAAGGCTGTTATCTTGCAACAGCTGTTTATAGTTAACTATAACCCATACTTAAACATTTAAAGTCTGCTTCTTGTTTAGTTCTTATGGTTTGGGAAAGGCTTTTGGGGAGATTTAACCCAATGTTGTCCCTCCCGACAACAGGACACAGTTGACTCAGGAGTTGGAAATTGCTCCATGTCTGATGTGGTACAGCCAGACCCTGTGAATAAGTAATGACTGCTTTTTGTTTTCCTGGCTTGGTACTTAAAGACTAATGAGAGGTTAAAATTTCTAGAACTAAGTCAGCAGAAGCCTTGCCAACAACATTTACACAAACCCAAATGACATACAACATAAAACATTTTAGTATTAAATCATATGGGAATCTGGTGAAAGGGAGAGAGAAAAAGAAATACACCCTTTTTTTTCTGGCCCTTTTCTTTCTTTCTTTTCTTTTTTTTCCCCCAGCATTCACAAGATTTCCTTTTCAAGTTTTTCTTGTGTTTCATTTCAAAGTATTCCTTGCTGACAAACAAAGCAATTGTTGTTTAGGATTTGCAATGTAAAAAGAAAAAAACAAAACTTGCCAGCAGTCGAACTTCAGTTCTCATCTGTTGTGTCTGACAACTCTCAATGGAGAATACAACTAGTCAAACTGCTACATACTACTGGGCAGAACAATAAGAATATGTAAAATACAAGATGAAGACTTGCTGTAAACAAAATATGTTACTAATGGGATACAGCAAGGAGAACAGGGAAAGGGGAAAACATATGTGCAAATTATTTTATCTCAGTCCTACCTTCAGAAAGCAGACTAGTTTAGCTGGCCACATGTAGCCTTTGCTAACACTTAACTAATTTTTCATTAACTGCTCAGCAGGGGTGAGCACAGCAGGAGATATTTGGATTTTAATGCCAACCTCAACTCAGAAGAGTTGAGCAAATTGAATCCTAACTCATACTTTAAAGAACACAGGGTTCTTTGGAGTTTCTACTGCCACTAGGCTCCAACAGTGGACTCTTCTAGTCCAGCTGTGGGGAAGTAGCTTAACTCCTCCTGCTGATCACATTCCAGAAATGGTCTTTTCAGTGAAACAGCCCATAATTAGAGCTCAACAAACAACTGATCTAGTTTGGTTGCTGAACTGAAAAATCCCTCCCCAAACTTTGGTTGGAGTAGACATGAAATGGAAATGTTTTGGTTTTTCTCACTGAAACATAAAACCAGAAATATTTATTTCAGGTAGAACAAAAACATTTTGTTTGACCCAAAACAAAACACATGATTTCATTTTTTTGGTGTTATGTTTTTTTAAAATCAAATAAATTTTGAAATGAAATATTTCAGAACAAGAAGTCAAGCAGTTTCACTTGACTAAACTAAAATAAGCCATTCTTAAAACCTAAATACATGTGTTCATACAAGGGGGTTGTTCTGATTTAAGTTAAACTGGTGCAGCTTTTTCATATATACAGGGCCTTATAGGAAATCGGTGGAGGCACATCAGCCAAAAAAAAAAAAAAGTATCACGGAGAATCAGGTCCACCATGTTCATGTCTATTTTGACAGATCCTAATGCAGTGATTTTATTAGAATTTCCTCCTGAACTATTTTGCCTAGCTACAAATGTGTAACTGTGCACCTTATACATATCCATGTATGCTATACTCCAGACTAGAAACAATTCCCCATGACGAGCATAGGAAACATCAGTTTAAGCCAGTAATATCCTACATACTATTAAAATGGTAAAAGAAACCTTTTTGTCTCTGTCTATTGCTCTGCACATATGTTTTATATACCTACATCCAATTATTACTCCTGGGGGGATTCTGCACCAATTTTAAAAATTTTGCACACAATATTTTAAAATTCTGCAAATTTAATTTGTCAAAATCACACTATATAATCACACCAGTTTCAATTATGTTGGTAATTTATTTCAAAATGCCTGTCAGCAAGTATGTCTGTAACAATACAGATACACATAAAAATTCCCCCAGGAGTAGAGAATTAAAGAAACCCCCTATGACAACCCAGTTCCTGTTTCTCTGCCCCCTCACTCCCAGAGCCCAGCTGGGGGGGCCAGACACTCACACCCCCTTCCTCACAGAGCCCAGCTGTGCCCCTGCAGCCAATGTACCCAATCCCCCTAAACCCCAGAACACAACTGCAGGGTGCCCCTTAGCCCAGATACCCACACCCCCTTCCCCCGAGCCTAGCCGCAGGGCCTCACTCCCTCTGAGATCCCAGCTATGGTCCCCCCAACCCAGACACCCACCCCCCTACCTCTCAGAGCCCAGGAATCCAGAGGGAGAAACAGCCTGATGCTCGGTCCCGGGGTTGCACAGAGTTTCCTGGTGCCACCCTCTCCTTCCATCACAGCATACGGGGAACTGAGCTGCCAGGAACCCTATAGCTCTCTTCCCCTCCCCCCAGCCGTGTCTTCTATGTGCGAACTGCCAGGTCTAGCGGCCCCTTGTGGTGGCCAGCAGCATTGCAGTCCATTTCTGTTGTGGAAAGGAAATTCTGCACAAAAAAGCATTAATTTCTGCAAAATCCTGCATTGTGCAGTAGCGCAGAATTCCCCCAGGAGTAAATTATTATGTGTGTGTGGCACTTGCGTGCATAACATTTTTCATTTATAGTTCTATGACAATGCTTTCTACATAGATGAAATTATGAACATACGGTAATAAAAACCTCAGACAAGTGATATTTATTAAGATTGTAGACGTTTGCTGTATTGTATCCTGAATATGTCTTTTGCAGTTTTTGAATATATTAACTTAATTACAGTATTCATATAATTTATAACATTCTTTTATGCTTTGTCCCCACCACCACAGCTGCTTGATGAAATGGCCCAGATCAGGGTGTTGAGCTCAAAGATGAAGTAAGTTACACAGTACTTTATTCCCCTTCCCCTTCTCCTTTTAATAGTGCTGTGCTATAATTTGCAATGTTCATTAATCAAAGCTGCCTTTTTTAAGCTGTCCGATGCTTGTGTGTCACTTTTACAGTTCATTCTTTATGAAAAATACTTAATATATGCTAGTAAAAATGTTGAGAGTACTTTGAAATTATAATTATTGTTGTTTAAAAAGGTCTCCCTCTTGGGTCCTTGAATTTGCCCTGATGGTTTTCTTAGGATATCACAATGGTGGAATCGGTCATCCTGTGATCAACTGGCTGTGTATACATTGACTAATCATATCACAATGGAAGATGAGAAAGTAAAGGCTGCAAGGCATCTATCAAAATATACTGATAGCTAAAATATACTGGAGTAATGTGTCCAAGAAGTGTGTCATCTTCTGGATTGTAAAAATCATCCTAATTGTTGTGTGTCACTCATAAAAGTGCCTGACCTAGAGGAATACTGAGCCTCTACAACTTGGTTTGATTTCAGAGGGAGTTCTTGTTGCTCAGCATTTGTTGAACAAGAAGTCAAGCATTTGTTGAGACCAACAGGACCGCACCTGTTTGCAGGCAGAGAAGAAACCCACCTTTCCACATTGAGTGGAAATATCACATGCAAGTAGACACTTAGTCATGCTTATGGGTAACCTTTATGCCTAAATGTTCATTAGCATATACAAATATATGTTTACAGGTGTAAATCTGAGTGGAGTTTACAAATCTTGCAGATATGCTTTCAAAGACTACTTTCAAAATTTAATGACAATGTTCATGTACATGTAACCCTTCTGCCAGTCAGAGTTGGCAGCAACAAGGTCTGGGTTCAGTATCTAGGGGTTCCATTTCAATAATACAACACAAAACTGGCTCGAGCCCCCACCCAGTGACCTGGGACAATTACACACGACCCCCTGGGCACCTCTAACAGGCAATACTCCACCTCTCACAAGCACAGAGTCTGAGTGTAGCAAAAACTTTTAATAAAAGGAGGGAAATAATGCGGCATTAATTTGGGGAAACATCGCAAACAGGGTTTATAAACAAACCATGATCAAAAGACCCACCACTAAGTAAGTTGTGCAGTGTCCTTTTTCCCTCAGGTCCTTAAGTCCAGCAACCCAAAAGCCCCTTTAATGTGCCTGTCCCTTCTCTGCCCCCCACTCATAGTTGCTGTACCTCCTGTCCGCTTGCCACGACTCTCCACTAGCCACCTGGCTAGCCACTCGCCAAGATGTCTTCAGGACCCCCCACTTAACACAACTCTCAGTGATTTCAGCTATTAGTGGGAGAACCTCACTGCTGGTGCGCACAGTGCAGTCTCTTGCAATAGAGACACAGTCCCAAAGTAGGTCTAATACTTAGACCTAGGTATCAGTGATTTCAGCTCTTCAGCATGTAACAAGACTCTCAACTGAGTCTAAATTAGCTCTTTTATTATACTGTCAAGAGAGTACAGATAAAATGATGTCTAGGGTCCTTAAAACAGGGCCCACACCACCAGGTACAAGTACCTATCCCCACACTTTCTCAACTCACTGGGCTTTGGAACCCATGTCCCCTGCCTAGCGAGTGCCGTTTAGTTAAGGGGGAGTCCCTCCATCGGGGTATGCCAAGTACAGTTCTGCTGCCCTTGATTCACACAACAAGGATAACAACCCTTTATTACTCCTGCCCCAATAACAAGTAGACTGGGGATCCCACACCAGCCAAAAGTGACCATTTGGGCAAGCAATCCCATCATACTGAGCACCTAGGCACGGTGGGTGTGCCCATGCAAATGAGATCAGCTCCTGAAGTCCTTTTCCACAGCTCACCACTAGATGTCAGGGGAGAGCTCATTCAAACTCTGCTTCCATATACAAGCACTCGAGAAATCACACAACTGATTAATTAAAATCCCATTGACAATGGCTGGGAACCAAAGATATCTCATTGAAGCAATGTGAAAAAACAAACAACCCAACAAAAAACCATACATACAATATTGCCACTCCTATTTGTGAGGCATTAGCTTATTTCACATAACCTCTTATGAGCAGATGGTCACAGCTGTAGATCAAGTATATTCAGCTCCTCCCACAACCCAACCCTCCCACCTACTTTTTCTCCAGTGATGCCATATACCAAATTCATTTTTGATCTATCCCAGATTCTTTTGTGATGTTTTAGCCAACAAAATTGAACCAAAATGCCATAATGAACAATAATTTGTTCATTTTTAAAGCTTCAGGACGATGTAAGAGTGAAGTATCTATTATCCACAGGCTTTTCTAAAGTGATCATCATAGTATTTACATTGAAATTAGCACATTATTCTGCTATTAAAATATATATTTTAAAGTATAATGTATATACTGTTACTAAAAGTTTAATGAATTGCCTATTCCTTCCAAATGTTATACAATCAGTCAGCCTAATTACTGAATCTATTTTCTTCACAACTAAAGGACTAAAATATAATTTTGAATGGTTTCCATAGGAACTTTGATGACACCCAGAAAACAACTTCACAACCCACTTTGGGGTGATAACCTGAAGGCTGAGAATCACAGCTTTATAGGATTAGTATCTCACCACTTGGCAGCTTTTGCATCAAATGAAAACAGAGTGTTTCTAATTAAAGACAACACTGATCTTTTTGTTCCAAAACAAAAACATGTCTAAAGAAAAGTGAACAAGGATAATCAGGCAAGCTACAACTCATACCTTTGAAATGGAAAAGCCTTGCCATCCTTTGTTGTCTTATTCTTGGGTTGCTGATTTGTGTCATATGGCCGCTCTTTGTTTTACTAGCTTTTGGTCTTCCTTTCATCTGGTGAAATTCTTTAGGTCTTCCCGATACAGAAATAACCATGGTCTTCTCCAATTCCTGTCCAAAAGTGGATCTAGAAGAGGTGAAAGTCAGATTTATGGCACGGTTACATTTGATCTAAGTATCTATTCTAAGCAACATTCAAATGGTTGATTCAACAAACATAAGCCTGGGAAATAATGCTACAATGTTATCTTTTAAAGCTAAGATGATAAAACAGAACAAGGGCTAGAGCAGAGGTTGGCAACCTTTCAGAAGTGGTGTGCCGAATCTTCATTTATTCGCTCTAATTTAAGGTTTTGTGTGCCAGTAATACATTTTAATGTTTTTAGAAGGTCTCTTTCTATAAGTCTATAATATATAACTAAACTATTGGTGTATGTAAAGTAAATAAGGTTTTTAAAATGTTTAAGAAGTTTCATTTAAAATGAAATTAAAATGCAGAGCCCCCGGGACCGGTGGCCAGGACCTGGGCAGTGTGAGTGCCACTGAAAATCAGCTCGCGTGCCATAGGTTGCCTACCCCTGGGCTAGAGGTTTTTTCCTACAGTAAAGTAAATGTAAACAATTCATTGGTATCAAGAGCAAATTAAAAACAGATATTCCTTCCAGATAAGATGTGGATTGCAAAAGAGATGTATTGGGTGTTGTAACGAGGATTTGTGGATGTCAAATGCTCAGAATACAGCAGGGGTCGGCAACGTTCGGCACACGGCTCGCCAGGGTAAGCACCCTAGCGGGCCGGGCCAGTTTATTTACCTGCTGACGCGGCAGGTTCGGCCGATCGCGGCCCCCCACTGGCCGTGGTTCGCCGTCCCGGGCCAATGGGGGCGGCGGGAAGCCGCAGCCAGCACATCCCTCAGCCCATGCCGCTTCCCGCCGCCCCCATTGGCCTGGGACAGCGAACTGCGGCGAGTGGGGGCCGCAATCGGCCGAACCTGCCGCGTCAGCAGTAAACAAACTGGCCCGGCCCGCTAGGGTGCTTACCCTGGCGAGCCGCGTGCCGAACGTTGCCAACCCCTGGAATACAGCAAATGAGCTCATGGTGGGAGGGGACAAAGCTGCCAGAAATTTCATTCCAGGGAGTGGGGATACAAGTTGGACATTTTTGTTTTGTTTTAAATTATAATATTTAGGTGCAGATATCAGGTTGTCCAGTTTTTGATCCCACAGAGCAGACTGCCCTAATGAGCATGTGTGGAACTGAGAATCACTATGCAGAGAATGAAGGGATGATACCCAGATTCACAAGACTGAGAAGGGCACCTAAAAGACTAATAGAAAATTCTTTGAGAGTTATTTTATTTATTTGTACATATAATGTTGTGTATTAGGTTTGTTCATGTTTATTTGTAAAGGTGAGATGTGAGGATCTCTCCTTAAAAGAACCATGCTTGGGAGTTGGCGTCACCTAATCTGACTGAGCAGATGGTCCCGGACTTACTTCTAATAAAGAACTATCTCCCTCAGCTTTGTCAAAGGCTCCTTCCTAAGAACTCATGAATATCATACTGATGACTGTTGTACTACTGATTTTACTACATATTGTTACTGGGAATTTGTATGCCCAGTCTGAATAAATCAATATCAGGGCTAATCTAAAATACTTAGTCAATAGAAAGACATTGATTAACTTCAGTGGGGTTCAGAGAGGATCCTTTAGTTGCATATACCGTAGTACAATAAATGTTATTCACTATGCACTGTCTATACATTATTTTTGTTGTTTTTTGTATTTTGTGTCCCGTACACAATGTCCTGATTCTGCAGCATTAATATGAAAAAGGAATGAGCGCAATAAGTCACTCCCTGCTGCCCTTATTCTGACCCACAATCATTGATGTACCATTTCAGAAATGGCCCTCTCCCTCAAAAAAATGTTTTGTACTGTAAACAATGAACTTAGGCCCCAGCGTTTTCATTGAAGTTATGCCTAATGAGCACTATCTTTGTTCACGTGCACAGATCTGAAACCAGTATAACTGGCTTGGCAGTCACAGAAGCATTCTATTTATTGGGAAAAAGCCAACAAGAAAGGGGAACAACTTGTAGCAATTAGAAGATTCCGGTGGCAACACCAGCTGGTAGAAGACAACAGTGGCCATCCTGATCTCATCCACAGGGCATATTTGATTGTTCTTTACAATACTGGATGGTCTCCAAGAACACAAGTTTAGAGTCATACTGAAATAATCAGAAATTGTCCTAGTGTAATAATAATAATAATACCTCATATATTTACTTTGAGATATACCGATTAAAAGAAAGTAATGAATAATCACACTGAAGTCAATAGAATTATCGTGGTGTGAAGCCAACATAAATTAAAGGAAAATCAGAACCACTGAGTATGTGAAACGTTGTTTTCAGATTCCTTTACATTCTCTAACCTCACTGATGTGCACTGTTTTGTTTGCAGTTTTACAAAAGTGAGTCCAAATTCTGTTCACAGTTGCATCAGTGAAAATCCAGAGCAGTTCCGCTGACATGTGTGGAGTTAATACAGATTTATGTCAATGTAACTGAGAGAAGGATCTAGCCCAAAGTGTTTGATGATTAACTGCATTATTAGTCAGTCACACATCTTTTTTGTTTCTCTGAAACACAGAATGAGGAAGGTTGCAAGAATATAGGTCATGCACAGAGTTTGAAGAGACATTTTTTTTAGCCACATATGAAAGACTTTATTAAAAGTTTAATGCAGATGCAGTTTAAGGCAAAGATGACAAATTACACCATTTGAAAATGATTATTGATTTATTAGGATTTATACCAAGTCTTATGTAATGGTGGAAACTAGTTGTACCATCTTATAATGTAACCAGAGTGTTTTCTTCTTTCCATTTGGGAAATGGACAAAATATATGTATTGCTGTAACACAGTAGAAAACAAGATTTTCTTAATGTAAGAAAGACTTTGTAAAGTTTAGTGCAAAGGGTACCTGTGACCTTACACTCCATATTCTTCATGGAAATATGCGTATGATATGGATATGGCATAATTGAGATATACTTTATGCAAGACAGCTCATGTAAGATATCATTAGAAACATTGTCATTTACTGAATGTGATAATCCAATTTGTATGCCTGTATCATTTCTGTATCTGAAGTTAGGAATATTGACCATGTATCTGTATTTCAAATGTGCTACTTTGGGTGACACCCACAACTAGCCTTTCAGGTACAACAATGAAAAGCCAGACAGGGCTGATGGCCCATTAGCAAAGACAATGGACTGTGAAAGAGTTTAGTCTTCCTGTGGACGCTCCAAACAGCCTGAGAGTAATGGCTGCTACAACCCTGCAGAGACATGGGTTTGAGTCACCTGGTACTGGACCTGCCCTCCCCTCCACCCCTTGGAATGCCAGTATTTTTCCACTGGAAGACAAAGGGTTCCCACCATACACAAAAGCTATATAAGGCAGGGGAGTAACATCATCGTGGTCCTCCTCAGCCTCCCCACCAAAAGAGACACTGGAAAATACCTGAAAAGAAGAACTCAGCTGAGGGGAGAAGAGTTGAGCCCAGGCTGAAAGGTTGTCTAGCCTGTGAGTAATAATACCTGAAGTTTCAAGCTGCAGGCCAATGCAGCTGGCTTTCAAGAATCTCTGTAATCTGCCTGAAACAACTTTTAGGGTGAGAAATTACGATTTGTAGCCAATTTCTTTAGTGAAATAAGCTTAGTTTGCATGTTTTGTTTTATTTGCTTAGTAATCTGCTTTGTTGTTTGCTATCCCTTTAACCACTTAAAATCTGCCTTTTATAGTTAATCAAATTGTTTTGTTTATTATTAAACCCAGTTTGTGCATTTTCTAATGGGGGGGGGCAAGAAGATGTACATATGGGTGAATATTTATGAGCTTGTGCTGTGCAGATTTTTCCGTACAGCACAAGACAATATACCTTTGGGTCTGCACTCCAAGGGAGGTGGGCACCTAAGTGCCTTAAGCTGAGTCTTCCCAGAGCTGATCTCAGTGTCTGTCTTTCTGCAGCTGGGTGTGGCCCTGCCTGTGTGCGTGTGCTAGAGGAGATTTAAGAGCCTGGTTCAGCAAGACAAGTTAAAGGTGGCCCATAGTGGCAGAAAAGGCGGGCTCAGTGGTATCTCAACACAAAAGGTGGCACCTTAAAGGGAGGCACCCATCACAGTACCATAGCTGTAGATTGCCACAAGAACAGCAGCAAAAAACATCCCATGATTCTAAATTGTAAAAATTATTTAGCACAGTTCTTGAGGGAATCACAAACATAATTGGTACAAAGAGTGAAAAAAGCTGACTTAAGACAAACTGGGAACGGACTATTACTATTATATTTTGTGGCCAAAGATGGCTACTTGCTATCATACAGAGATGGCTGTCATTGTCATGCTTATGAAAACTATAATAAATCTATGAATTCTCCTTCTTCCTTGCCACTTCGCTATTTGGGTTTGGTGACTTTTTATACTCTTCTTCCAAAACTCATGAGCATATGCCAGGCTGTCATGCAGATTGGTCTCTCTGAGGTCCTCTGATGTCAGGTTCATGTACTGAGTCTTTGGTCTCCCCCTTGGTTGTCCATCCAGAATCATTGCAAGAGTCATCTTACCGATAAACAGGATGTTCTCATCTTAACAAAGTAGCCTAGCTTCCCTCAACTTGTCTTCAGCTGGAGCAACCCACTGTAGTCCCTTTATAACCTCATTTTGTGTCCTATCACTGAGTGTCCAACTATTTGACCATCTCAACATCCTAATTTCCACAAAGGAAGCATGTTGATTTCCTTTCTTGTGGCTGGCCAAGTCTCTGCTCCATTCTTGAAGAGAATGGGTCAAATTAAAGTTTTATATATTCTACCTTTTTACTATATTGGCATCTTTTTGTCACAGAGAACTGGAGTCAGCTTCTGCTATTTGCTACAAGCAGCTTTAGTGTGATGCATCACTCATAAAGGCACTAACATCAGCAACCATTAATCGTAGGTATTTAAATTCTTTCACTCAAAAGTCTCTTCCTGTGATATCCTTTTAAGGGGAATCCTCCAGTTATTCCAGTCTCAGTTTTATCTATGTTAACTCTAAGGCCTTCTGAAACTATGTTGCAACTGTTCAGAATTGACTTGCACAGTCTCACAATCTTTCACACATAGCACTAAGCCAGGGGTGGGCAAACTATGGCCCATGGGCCGGATCCATCCCCTCAGGGCTTTGGATCCGGGCCGTGGGATTGCCCCTCGTGGTGCCATGGACCCCGCACCGTGCTCAAAAGCAGGTGGCACCATGTCCCTGCGGCCCCCGGGTGAGGGGCAGAGTGCTCCATGCATTGCCCTTGCCTCCAGGCACCGCTCCCGCAGCTCCCACTGGCCGGAAATGGGGAACCGCGGCCAATGGGCGCTTCGGGGGAGGTACCTGGAGGTGCGGCAAGAGCAGCGTATGTGGAGCCCTCCTCCTCCCCTCCCGCAGGGACCACAGTGCATCCTGGAGCGGCGCGGTGCGGCACGGGACTAGGGACAGGGCAGGCATGCAGAGAGCCAGTTCTGGCCCCAGTGCGCGCCGCTGCCACTCTGGAGCCACTTTAGGTAAGCGGCACTGGGCCAGTGCCCAAACCCCGCCTGCACCCTGCCCCCCAACTCCCTGCCCGAGCCCCCTCGTACACCCCACACCCCTCCTTCACCCAACTCCCTGCCCTGAGCCCTCTCATACATCTCACACCCCTCCTGCACCCCACCCCCTTGCCCTGAGTCCCCTGCTGCACCCTGCACCCCTGCTGCACCCAAATCCCCTGCCCTGAGGCCCCTCCTGCACTCCGCACCCCTCCTACACCCCAACCCCTTCCCTGAGCCCCCTCATACACCCCGCACCCCTCCTCTGCCTCAATCCCTTGCCCTGAGCGCCTTCCTGCACACCGCACCCCCTCACAAACCCCTCACCCCAACCCCCTGCCCCAGCCCTGCATACAATTTCCCCATCCAGATGTGGCCCTCAGCCCAAAATGTTTGCCCACCCCTGCACTAAGCCATCAATAAACAGTATGTTCCAAAGTGGCTCCCTTCATATATTCGCACTTATCACATCTATGATAACCAGAAACAAAAGGGACTCTTGCTGACCACCTGACGCAGGCCATCTACTGTAAATTCGGTACTGTAGCCCCCATTTAGTGTTGACTATGATAGTCACTCCCTAATACATATCCTGGATAAAACTGACATACCCTTTTAGCACACTTCTTGGTCACACATGGCACCAAACTAGTTTTCATGGTACCCAATCATATGCCTTTGCCAGGTCTACAGAGACCATACCCAGTTGCCATCTCTTTTCTCTGAACTTCTCCATGAGGATTCATAGCACAAACATGTCAGCAATTGTTCTCCGTCCCAGCATGAATCCACACTGACCTGTCCACTGAAATCCTAGCCCCACTGAAGTAAATGGGAGTTTTTCTATTGAAGTCAGTAAGGCCAAGATTTCACCCAGAGTGTCCACTAAGAGGAGATAGACCCTTTGCTTGGTATTAGCTGTGTGGAGAGGACTCTCCGCACATATTACCCCTTCCTGTTGTGATGTATGTGTGTGCTTTAAAGGGAATTCTTGGAGTAGGGGCAACTCGGGAAAATCCTATTGTGCCTCAGCCAGAGATCCGTGAGTTCTGACTGCAGTGCCGGCAGGCAGCCCCTTCCCCCGGACAGAATGTGCCCAAGAACTATCAGAGAAGAGATCACAACTTCAGGGGAGGTCCCCACACCCCAAACTCCTCCCATGAGTAGGTCTGCATTAAGGGTTGTTCTGAGCCAAGGAATTGTACAAAGCATTGCACATTAGCAATCCTGTAAACCCACTGGTAAATAACTTCATAGGAGGCTCAGAAAGAACTAGTTTGGTATGTGCTTTGAAACTTTTCATTTATTTGGGTGTTCCCCGAGAAATCCCCCTTCAGCTTAAAACATACACAAATAAATTCTTAGTCCATTCTTAATATGTATTACAAGAAATACTATAAATGGTAACTGTCGCCAAAGCACACTAAGTATAACATATGTCCTACCCACCTGAGTGTATTCATACTATGACATTTTGGTAAGCATTTTTCTTGTTATTGTTTAGTCTCCAACTAGGGCATACTGTGAATGAGCCCTGCTAGATCTCGTAACTAAGCAGAGCCAAGCTATATTATTATTTGCCTAGGAAATATGTAGCCATTTATAATCCCATAATCCCTTTTTTTTTTCCCAGAGTAAGAGTGTTTCCTTTCAGGGACCGGATAAATTTAAATTCATGCAGTTTCAACTGGATATGGTAATCTTCCTGTCTTAAACCATTGTGTTGTGTTAGTGTGCTGTTAAATAGCCATTATATTCCACAGTAAAGGTGGATAGTTCATTCCTTATTAAAGCTAGCAGAAATATTTCAAATTTATTAAAATGTAATTTACAACAATGACCAAAGAAAAAAGTGTGTGAAAATTTTGTACAGTTTTACAACCATCAAGATTTCAATGGAAAAAATGGGAAAACTTAACAATTTTCACCAAAATATTTATTGGATTTTGGCCTGCTATAATCCCTACCTGGGAATTTTCTATTTTTGACGGGGTACAAGGGTTTATTAATTAATGGTTGTGACGTCCTTTCAAATTCTTGGATGAAATATGATCTAAAAAACAAAATAATTTTAAATGGAAATATGAAATTACATTTATGAATAAATCTGTTCTATTGGTGAGCAAGATTCTTCTGAAAATGGAATGAACCATGTATTCCATGTTTTCAACAGAGTAAGTAATTAACCATTTACTACTATTAGCAATTTGTTAAGGTTCATGGTGGATTCTCCATCACTGACAGTTTATAAATCAATATGGGATATTTTCTAAATGCGTCTAATGCTTTAGGAATAATTTGGGCGAAGTTCTATAGCCTGTGTTATATAGGAGTCACACTAGACGATTCCAGTGTTGCTTTATGGCCTTGGAATCTATGAATCTGTACCAATCTGCAGAACCTATGGCATTTTGCTTTGCCATTCTCCCCCTCACCATCCCTGTTCATCATTATTTATAAGTATCCTCATTATTGAGACATTTTTCCTCATCCACAACTCTAAATTATGCTAAAATGAGTGTGCACATACACAAATTTAAGAGCACCGGTGTACACAGCAGGTGGTTTGATAGTTCATTTATGCACAAGTACATCCCCTCCCCAATGACCCAATGAAATGTTATTGTTAGTTGAAGCTTTAGGTCCTTCGTTTTCAGGAAAATGTCCTAATATATTACACAGACACACAGTAATGGTTTGTTTGCTCTTCCTCATTGTTTCTGCCAACACATACTTCCTGTTTCTAACATGTGTAAGAATTGCATTTTTTCCAACAGGAAGACCACGCCTTGTTTGCACAAATACAGTTATTTTTTTCCTCTACATGCTATCTTTCAAGCCATGCAAATGGAATAATGAGACTTTTTCCCCTCCCTGGCCCCAAAATTCTAGCAGCATTCATTTAGTTTCCATGTAAAATGTAATCGGCTTCATAATAGGTCACTCACAAATATTCTGCTTGCAGGATCTCCTGCTGTTATGCTAATTGCATGATAATACAATATACAACCAAGGCCCATGAACATTATTAGATCATGCATTTCATTTTGGTACTGCTGTGCAGTAGGGTGTTAAAGAAAGTGTCAGTT